AATTTAATGCTAACTGTTAATGGGGTGCAATGAAGTGGACTTGACTTCTCAATGCATCTAGATGGAAACTTTTCAGAATTATTACATATTGAGATCTGTCTAATTCTTAAAATTAGAGAACAAAACATTGAAAACAATACTGTTAAAATGAATAGTAATTAATATTTTATGTAATTGCATTAATTAAATTTGGCAATACAGTTAGGGAGCTAATTTCGTTTAAAATGCAATTGCACATTTCAATCGCTGCCCACACCCTGGGGATCATCTTTTTTTTACGTCCCTCATTAGACCTGTAATCTCTTTCTCCTATTAAATGGTGTGATTGAAACTGAGAATATGCATGCATAGATGTGCATTTGCTTTCTCCAGCAGTTATATCCTGTTAAAGATTTTAAATGCTTTATATTGTGCCATTCCATTAAAAAACAAAATTAAGATTTTATTGTTATTGTCTTCTCCAAAGAATTATTTTTGTCTCCTATAGGTAAATATGTATGTGAAGTCATTGAGTCATATATATAAAATATATTTAATTTCAAGAAGTGATAGTCTAGAAAATAATCTCTCTTTATTAAAATGCTTTAAGTTTTATTTTTGGTTTTGTTTTTTAATGGGAATGGTGGAGCCACCTTGGATTGTGACGTCAAATCCCATTGTATCACAAGCACTCAGATTGTATAATGTTTTCCTTGAATATTTCAGATTTCATCTGAAAATTAGTTGTTAGTTGTTCCCCATTATCTCCACTTAGAAGGCTGTTCAGAGTCACACTCCTCTGGTGCTTAGCTCAGCTCCAGTTTGCAGTGTCTCTGTGATGTATTTATTCTTGTGCAAGCATTACTGTTTCAGAAATCCTCCTTGCTGCCTTTCACAATCCTTGCTACAGTTTGCATTCACATATACTGGACTGGTACAAAATGTCTCCACCAACTCATTAATAGTTTTACACAATATATATATAGAGATCTGTTGAAGACCTTAAATATATGCTATTTTTGTTGTAATCACCATTATTCAAATAATATGACAATGAATTACTTAGTTAATACGTTTTTGCTACTTAGTAATGGTCTTAGTCAAAATGCGTAGAAGGTACCACAAACACAGATTTTTTACAGAAGGTTTTACTTCTAAAATACAAAAGAACAGTGATAGGATGTATTTTCATGCTTTTGTCTTACTAACTGTTTCACCATGATGTGGCCCTACAGAGATACTTGTGAAACTGAAATTTTTGTGAATCTGCCTGCTGCTGTCTCATGCAGCCACAGCAAATAATGCCTCTGCTTTCCAAAGCCTCTGGAACTGTGTGGTTGAATGATGTCCGCATACATTAAATTAGTCTTCTAGAGGGAATTCAGGCATTCTAAACTTTCCAAATTCTACTGAATAATTTTCAAATCTGATTAATGTTGTCTGTGAACATTTTGTGTATTTTTGATTGCTAAAATAAACCAGTGAAGACTAGGGGGGTTGAGTCTTACTATATTTTGACATCTGGTTTATTGCTGAAGAGTTTATCACTGCCTTGTTTGAAATCTTCCAGGAACTTACTGTTTAACATCAAGAAAAACAGATTTTGGAACCAGTTTTTATTCCCTGAGAAGAAAAGAGCAACTGTTCAGTCATTCCTGTAGAATTGGTCTCAGAAACCTTCAAACAGATACTTAACAATACTCGCCTGGAAGTGCATTCATAGTAGTTTAATTTAAATCTCTTGACATCTGTCTGTGGAAGCTTCTACACAACCTGGACTTCTTTTAAGTTGTTGAACATGTTTAATGCTAGTTAGGATTAGGGCAGGTTTTTTTTGGCTCTAAGGGCTCTGCAGAGCTGGATATCAAACAGTTGAGTGGTGTTTAAAAGTGTACAAGTGCTGTCTGGTGTTCCAAATTGAAGATACGGAACATCTGTTGTGGGCTGGGTATAATACCTGTGCTGTCCTAGGGTTCATTAATTTTAGGAGAATTACAGACCAATGACAGGATTATATTTTATATAGAAGTTCTTAGGAATTGGGCATGGCCATAAGAATGTTGCTGTGCCATGTTAGACTTGTGCCACAAGTCTACAAAGTCAAACATCTTATAGAATAGAATGCAAAGAACTCTGATTTTTGAAGTTACTTTACAATATTTAAAAAATATTTTTCTATGAACATTTTGCTCCTCTGTTTCTCGGACAATTTGATCTTGGACTTGTCTCTGCTCAGTTGCATGCTAGACCGCTCATCATATTTTGTGTTTTCTATGTGTAAAGTTAAGAAATATTCTGATATTAGGTGCCGCAGTACTGTCTCTACTTATCTGTCACGTAAGTTGCATGCAATTACTTACCTCGTAACATTTTTTTATTCATGCTGTGAATTTCAGTGTGTTTTTCTCTGTGAGGTGTGGTAGGTTTGTACCTTTCCACTCCAAATTGGCAAGTATATTAATTGACCTACACAAATTCCACAGCTTTGTTTTGTTGTGATGGCTTTAACGGGGACTGCAGACCAGGCTGAGGTGGTGCCAGTGCTGGATGTCAGCAGCTCCAATGGGTCCCAAGGGGATCCCACTTGTGTTGCAATGTGGCCACTGTTTGGAAAGCCATGAACTGGGGAAGACAGGCCGGTTTCACTTGTCCTACCTTGTCCCTGGAGGCGCAGTTCAGACCAACCCTGTCAGTTGTTGTTTGTACCTGGGCAGAAGATTGGTGGAGTCTTAGAGCCTGGCATTCTGGAGTGCTTTTAGTATCATCCTGAAGTGGCTGTTGCTTGACAGTGGAGCATTAAGTTCTGGAGTTAAAAATGCAGTAGCAGCTAAATTCTGTGAAGGATTACTATTGCAAAAGAAGGGCATTTCTTGATTATGTTCTTGTCGTTGTGGCTGATATTGTTTGCCTTTTCTATTTTTGAATTTCTTCTTAAGCTTTAAAAAATGTTTTATTTTAATGCATGAAGCAGAGCTCCTAAAGTGTCCTAGAACAGGTAGAATAAGTGATTTCAGTGGGGTGGGAGAAGGGGAAATAAGGTAATAAAACATACGCAGACATCTCTGTAGGTTTTCCTTTCTGTCAGTTAACATGTGAAATTTGAATAATGGTTGGATTTTCTATTTTTTCTTGGTATTCTGCCACCTCTTTTTTCCATTATCTCATTTCCCCCACTTTATTTTCTATGATCTGATCATCCATCTCACTCCACAGATTATTGTGAATAATCAGTTGGTTTTTTTTGATTCACGAGTTTCATGGCACAAATTATGCCCCACGAAGTGTTTTACTCTCAGTATCAGGTTTTGCATATAGGAGAGAATGTTGTCCTTAAATGTTATTACAAGAGAAGTTTTATTTAGTTAGTAAGCAGCTTGGGAGTTTTTCTAGTAAGAAGGACAAACTGCTTCATATTAAACGAAATTATATAGGTAATCTTAAGGCTCCTCCACACCCATCATGTTTTGATGGTCTGGTGGTGCAGTATGGATAACTGATTTCTTAAGTGGTATGAAGACTTCTAAGAGATCTAGACCACTTTCTTTTTAATATAAAAGCTTGGCATTTAAATAAGTGGGTTTGGGGGGAAATAAAATAAAAAATTAAAATCTGGATGGAGACAAAAGCTTTTGAAATGTTGGCAAGAAGTCAATCTGAGTGTTATATATGTCATTTATTCTTGGAGCAGACATGGGGATTTTGGTTAATTAAGTAGATAAAATGTTTCTTGTTAGTGACATCTTGGGAATTTCCTTGGAAGCTCTTGGTAATTGGAATGAAATAGGCAGCATGGTAAAAAAAGTGCCCTTTTTCATTTGGCATATAATGGTTCTCAGCTAGGGCTGAGATCTTAGAAGATAAATCATATTTGATACAAAGACCGTAGTGGTCTAGAATAAAATATTATTCTCTGGAGTGTTACAGGCTAGAATATGTTAGATTGTCATGGTCTAGAACACAATTTTACAGGTTTTTTGTGTGTAGTCTTCAAAAGAGGACTTTTGAATTAGAAGAAAGACACTTCTTAAATGAACAGCATTATCTCATATTGTTATCGTACAATCACTTTAAAACAAACTATATGTTAAATAAATAAAATCACTTCTAGTTGTTTCCATAGTTGAATAGGATCTTAAAATGTTATTGTTATATCACAAGCATTCCTATGGTTGACTGCGGAGTTTTTAATGTGAATTTTTAGCAAACAAATCAGAAACCTCATTAAGAGTCCCACTATAAGATTTAACTGGTCACTTAACATTCTAAACTGTCAGCTGACTTACACTAGAGAGAAATGCAGTGTTAGATTTTTCCATGCTGCTAACCCACCTACCAAAATAAGACTGCTGGAACAGCTGTGTGTGGCTGCATGAGTCAAGATGGAAAGGAATTTCAATCAGAACAGCAGGAGGGAAAAGTAAAGGGAGCTGATTTTTAACTTGGGAAACTGGAGGAAGCTTATATGGAAAAATACATTGATAGTGCTAGCTAATATTGTACAAACAAATCCTTTGCCTCATCATGGAAATATGCAAGTATTTTTAATATTTCCTGTTATCTGTTCATACAGTCTGGGTTTATTCCTGAATAAAATACATGAAATATATCTGTGGTTTTATAATTAAATAGGTCAGACTAGGATTTAACATGATTGCATAGTGAACCTAACGAGTTCAAAATCCAGCAGCACTTTACAAATTAGTTGCTATCTAGTGCCATTAGTTTGTGATTTCTTCTATAATGTTTGGCTCTAAGCTTTTAATAAATTAATCAGACTGGGACCACTTGAAACAGTTAAACTTGAAAGCTCCGAACTGCCTGGTCTCAAATGACCTAAATTAAAACAACACTTACATAATCTGTGGTACTCTTTGTTAGTAATGAATGCAATAGGTTTAATTGTGTTCTCTAAGTGCTATGGGATTAATTTGCTGTTCCATTACAGCACAGTAGCCAAGAGCCTAACTGTAGGCTTTTTCTGCAAGAAAATGCAATGTTACAACTTTCCGTAATATTTACAGGTTTTAGGACCTGCCCCAAAATGGTGTTCCTTCTTGGACAACTTGACTGAAGAATTGGAAGAGAATCCAGAAAGCACTGTTTATGATGACTACAAATTTGTTACCAGAAAAGACCTTGAAAATTTAGGTAAAACAGTTGTATCTGCTCTTTCGCTGACTTCTTTGTTCAGAACATTTACACATCTGATTTTTGTAATTTCAGTGTGGTGTATGAGCCCTGTTATAAATTCAATGACAGTAGTTTCCTCTTGTTTTCTTGGTTATTAATATTCCAGACTGATGGCTCTAAGTTCTTTGATTCCCAGCCAATACAACACTAGACACTTGTGTTTCTCAGATTTTCATCCCAAGAAGGTGATTGATATTTGCTGATACAGTATCTCCAGGAATCTGTTGTGTGTGCTTTCATATGCCACATAGAAGGCATAGGAAGAGAAGTGGGTTTAGTTTTCAAAACATTTTTGAGGTGTTCAAAATAGACTTTGGAAATTACAGCCAAAGGCTACGCTATTTGAATGTAGCAATTTTCAGAAAATACAAATCATTCTAGGGCTAGTAGTTTCAAGAAATTGGAATACTGAAAATTGTGTAGCAGAGAAGGTAAGCAACATTCTCCTGAGACAGTTAGTCCTTTTTCTGTCTCTTACGTGGTGTGATTGCAATGTTTTGCTCCAGTTTACTTAATTTACCTCTGACTGTACAGTGTTGGGTTTGACCCAAGACAAGTCTCTTTAATTAAAATGGTCTCTCTATCACACTAAAAAAGGGATTATCAAACACATATGGACTTTGAAAAAATCCTCTGGCATTCTTTGTGAAATTCTACAGAGCGTGGTGCACATGGGCATTTTAAAAACATGGTCAGTAATAGGTATTATGACAAGAAACACGGATTTGGTTGCTCTGAAGAAGCTTACAAATTTTGCTCACCAAAATGATTTTTATTCCCAGTTTTACTTAGTCTTGATGTCATGATTGTGACTGTTAGATTGATGTTTTGCTTTAGCAGTGCTTTTTTGTCTTAAGGAAGTAAACTGGCTGGCTTGGAATAGAAGTTCTTTATATGTAAAAGTTCTTTGAAATTCTCTGGATCTTTTTCCCAGGCCTTGCTCATCTCATTGGATCATCATTACTCAGAGCATATATGCATGGCTTCTTCATGGACATTAGACTTTATCATAAGGTAAATAAGTCTGAATCTTGTCAATTTTTATGTTTAACAATAAAATATATATGCTGGGAGTTTTCTTTGTCTTTTTGTGGGTTTTTTTTTGTTTTGGCTGGGTTTTTTTTCCATCCAGATAATGGACTAAGTCCTGTATTAATGGTATTTTCTTTTTACTTCCTCCTGCTTGTTCAAAGGCAAAAATGATGGCCAATCCCTTTGCCTATGAAGAATATAGAAGAGAAAAAATAAGGCAGAAGATAGAAGAAACACGTGCACAGAGAGTTCAACTGAAGGTAAATTCTAGAAACAAATAATATACTTTGGGAAAAACTCTTCATAAAGAGTAATATTTTCCTAAGTGTATCTTAGAGATGTAGTGACTTAGGATTTGATTCTGTTTATCATTGGACACACAAAGTAAATTACAGAACTTCTTGAATGGAAACATAAAATTCTCATATATGTGATTTTTGAAAGGTTGATACCAAACTAAAAGAGCAGCTCTCATCTCATTTGCCGCTTGAGCAGATAATCCACTGGTAAAACTTGCATTTTCTACTTCTGTCATTAAATTACATAAGCCGTTGAGACATGATACTCTGGAAAGAGATAGATAAAATTGTATTGTGTTTATAACTAGTAACTCTGTAGATTGGATCTGTTCAACATAAAAGGAAAAAGAGTTGCTTTTGAAGTTTTAAACCTGATGTATCAAAAGTTAAAAATAGTACGTAAGTTCTTAAATCTTCTGGAAGTGCAGTTGCTTTACTAGCATCTGGAGATATTTGGAACCAGTCAAGGTGCTTTTCTGCAGTAGTTCTAAGAATGTAAACCATGTAGGTTGCATGTGTAAAAGGCTAATTTATTAATTGCTTTCCTCTTTTTAGAAACTCCCAAAAGTTAATAAAGAACTTGCACTCAAACTGATTGAAGAAGAAGGAGAAGAGCAACAGTTTAGTAAAAAAAGAAAACAAAAGGTGGGCTCTTGTTTTGATGAATTCTCTACCTGGGAGCACAGAATTAGCAATGCTTACAGGATTTTTGTTGTTGTTGCTGCTGTTTGGCCAAACAGATTCAAAATACCATTGTTTCTGTTTCTTATAAATAACATTCTGGTAAGTGGCTTTAAGATGGATTTGACTGTAGCTGCACCACAAAAAAGACCATATAGTAACTTGAAGCTAAAAGTGGTGAAATACTCACTGTGAAGGTAATAAGGGTTTGATACGACTAGAAGCTGGTTAATGCAGCCTCAATACCACAGCTGTTCAAACAAGACCTGTTGTTTGCATTTGTTTTTGGTATTTTGCTGGTGACAGGATAGATGTTATCCAAAAAACTTAAGATACAATTGCCTTTTTTTGTATATATAGTTAAATATATTTTATAGAGTAGCCAAAATGGTTTGCTTTTATGCAACAGGAGTTCTTCTGGATGTTAAATGTAATCCATTTCTCTACTAAGGGAATTTAATTGAAGAAATGGGTAAATGTTTAGTATCTAATGGAGGGGAGGCTTTTTATAGGTAGCACTTCATAGGTTCTCATTTTCACAGGAATATAGCATTCATGAAAGGCAGACACCAGCTGCGTGTGATAAATAATGAAAACTCGTGTGTTAAGATTATTAGGAAGGATGAACTTCTACTAAAGAGATAGGTGGTGGTGAAACTTAAATGCAAACTTAAGCAAATGGTACCATGAAAATGAGAGTTCAGTAGCTGGGGATCTGTCTGTATTGGAGTACATGGAGATTATGTTATTAAGTGGACTAAATAGAGTGTATATAAAATTGTACATTCAGATTATTTTTCTGAGACAGTATTAGAGTCCTATGACAAGCAGTTTATTTTAGGCTTTGGGATTTAATTTTTGGCTGTGGCTGAAAGTTACACATTTGCATCATTTTTGTGTTTGAAATTTACTCATCTTGGTTTCTGTATCCTTAGTTCCACTCTCATTTTTTTCAGTAACAATGAAAACCTAATGCAGTAGTGGGATTAATGTGCTGGTATAAGTTGAGCAATGTTAAAAAATAAGCATTTTCTAATAAAAAGCTATGTATGCAATGATTTTAAAATGACAATAACTGGTTTTCTCAGAAGATGAATTAGTGGCTTGAACTATTCTGAATTCACCAGTAGCATAATTTACACTGAGTTAATTTTACTTTGACATGAATTAAACTGCCTTTTCCATTCTGTATGTGAAAGTAGTAAAGAAAAAGTATTATAATATGTATAACATTTCCTCTGAAGTATTTACAGTAAAATAATAGTAGCATTGCGTAAAGACATGTACCTTTATAATTTGTTTTACATGTTGTAGACACATCCCCATCAGGCAGTATATTTGCCTTGGAGGTACTGCTGATTAGTCAGTAGATATCAACATGTCTCCAGACTAGCTGGCTGAATGTATGGGAAACATTTATTTGAAAATATTAGTAATTGTATTTAAAGCGTCTGTACTGTGCATTAAAAAAACTCTTGCTTACAGGTAGCTTAAAACAATCTTTGTAAAAATGCAATAAGCATAAATCTTGATTTTTATTTGACCTGGAAGGATAAAGCAACTGGCATTTCATATGCCTGTTATTAATTTTGTTTAATTAAGAAAAAGTGTTACTTATTTTGTTAATGTCTGTTTCAGAATTGTCTAACTTGCTTATGGTTTGCTTCTGTTCCAGAATATGCCCAGCCTCCTCAAAGATGATCGTTTTAAGGTCATGTTTGAGAATCCAGATTTTCAGGTGGATGAGCAGAGTGAAGAATTTAGGCTACTTAACCCACTTGTTTCTAAAATAAGTGAGAAAAGAAAGAGGAAGCTAAAGATCTTAGAAGAGCTGGAAGCTCAAGGACCGGTAAAATATTTTCCATTTGGATTAAGAAAACTCCATAGGCTTTTTTTTCCTCTGTTTCAAGCTTTCAGACTTTTCACCCCAGAAAGATGGAGGCAATGCAAGAATGTCTTATTAGCTAGAATAATTAAGCGTAATTTATAATGTTAATCACCTTTTTTGATGTAGTATTGTTTTTGCACAAAATACAGGTTTGAAAAACATAGAATATGTAGATGATTACAACCTTGTAATGTATTTTAAGCTTTATTTGTTGTTACTGCTTTTGTTCAAAAACTCTTCAATAGTATCTATGTAAAAGCTGTCACGTACTCGGATTGCAGGAATGATTTGGAAAGAAAATTAGTTGATGATTTCTTATTTTATACTATTTTTGTCTGCAGGAAGAGGAGGAAGAACCAGAAGGAAAAGCAAGTGATGCAGAAAGTTCTGAGAGTTCAGATGATGAAAAAGGCTGGGTTGAAGAGGTCAGGAAACAGCGCAAGCTTTTACGCCAAGAGGAAAAACTCAAGCGGCAGGAAAGGCTCAAGGAGGATCAGCAAACATCACTAAAACCTCAGTTTTTTGAGATTAAAGAAGGGGAGGAATTCAGAAGCTTCAAAGACTCTGCCAAAAAACAGAAATTAATGAAGTAAGACTAATGTTCCTATTTTAATAGGTGGGGGTGGATGATTCTCAGGTATTTCCCTACAGTGCAGGCCTACAATGTTTTGGCTTGGAAGCACTTGCTAGCAAAGCTACATTTGGTGATCCAAGGGTGTAACTTAAAGTGACATAGTCGTTGAAAGCTTTGTTTTATAGATAAACAAATACACAGATAGGACAGAGACACAAGACAAATGAAATGAATAAGATATTCCTGAGTCAGATTGAGGGATCCATTACTCGGGTTGGTGAAGTGCTGTTCTCACAGGTAACAGTGATGTCTTTTGAGACTGGTTATATTTCTCCACCAGTGTCAGTATGAGATTAACAGACTGATGTTTTCATTTGACTGTCTGAAAGGATTTAGAATGCTACATGAGTAGTCACTGTTTTGGAAGTAGGCTCAAGATGGATCAGCATGGTAAAAGAAAAATTATTTCCTGTGGGTGTTTTTATGGCATCTAGAAATTTTCAAAATCTACACTGTTCTTGTAATGTCAAGACTCTGCTTTACTATTTGCAATACAAAATACCAGGCTAGGAGGGTGTTTTTTAAGTGTTTTTGGTTTGGTTTGTTTTTTTCATTTTCTTAAATTGATGATCATCTGAAATAATGGATACGTGGATAAGCATGTCAAACTAAAAAAAGAGGACTTGTTTTTGAGGTGCTTAGTGGCTGCAAATCTCATTGATTTAGTTTTTTTCAGAGGTGAGTTGAGCCCTTCAGAAGATGAGATTTAACAGCATTTTATTGTTTGGAGCACAGACACTCATTAAACCTTTCAAGACAGGAGCTTCAAAGTTCTTGCAGGACAGCTGGGGCAGAGCAGAATTTTGGCTAATGTTGGAAATGGTTTGTTGGTCTAGATGGATCTCATAATAAACATTTTGGTTTTATTTAGAATGAAACTATACAATCAAAGAAAAGAAAGTTAATATAAAGGGGCTGTTTCTTTATGTCACTAATGACTACAATCTAGGTTTTTTAGAAATTTTCAGGATATACATAAAGAAATACTTGATAAAATACAACATTTTTGCTAAAATGATCATGTAAAATAGATTTTAAAGTATTAGGAAGACAGTGTTCCTATGATAGTTAGATGGTCTATGATTTCCATGTTGTACTTCTAAGACCTCCTTTAAGTAGAAATAGTGGTATTTTATAAATAGGGATTTATAGCAGTTCAGCAGAACTAATTGCCATGTTTTCCTTAGATTTTTTTATCAACAGGTAATTTCACACAGGCATTTTGCTTTGTTTTTTTAATTGAATCTACCCACTTATTCTGAACTTTTAATTTCCTTAGATATTTCCACTAACTTTCTTCTGATTATTTTTCTTTTTTTATTTGAGCCAGAAGTGAAGCAACTTTTTGACAGTTTTTCTGCTGTGTCAGCAGAAAATCTACTCTGGATACTCTGACAAAGTATTATAGGTTAAAAATATATTTTTTTACGTTGTGATTAGGTTTATAGTCACATTGGCTGTAACTTGGAAGGAGCCCGAAACATTGGTCAAATGACACTGTATTCTCAGTGCAAGTGAAATACATCATTACCTGTATAGCTGCAGCCTACTCATATACTATTCTTTTGTGCAAATTCAGCTGCTAAGCTCTAAAGCAAATTCTCAAGGACACTGAATTTGAAGAATAAAGATTTCATCTTGTTCAAAACATGGAAAGCTTAAATGTGAATGATGGTGTGGAAATTCGAGTGGATAAGCCAAGACAGTTGTAATGCAGAGAAACATTTAGAAAAAAATAATGCAATGTGATACAGGAGAAAGTAAATTCTTTCATCTGGATTTAAGGGAGAAAAATAATTTCTTCACCCCAGGAAAAGCAAAAGCAAATACCACAGACCTGTCCTGGAACGTGTGATGAGATAAACCATCCAAAGCCTTTTAACAGACTGCTTGTAAAGAAAGAAGAATTTGTCTTAAGATTTGCTACTAATAGATACCCTCTCGGGTAGATGCACAGATAGGATATCATGTAAAATGTAAAAAAAAAAAGGAGAGGAATTTGAGGACAGAATAGGATGACCAAAAAAATGAATGTGGTAGCATCATTTCCTTTGTTTTTTTTAATTGCTGTCATTGAATTGACTTACATGGGGTTTTGTTAGCTTTGTTTAAGCAATTGGCTCTATACTTGGTGATCACTTTGTGTTCGTCCAAGCATTGTTCTCAGTATGGAGTTTAGTGTTCCTCAAATTCTTAGAAAAAATTTAAAATTCAACAGCTGGTATCTGTTTCATATAATGTATATCTGATAGGATTTTGTAGTCATAATGATTTAGCCTGTGTTGTGAGCTGACTTGTTTGGTTAAGTTAGAATTCTTACATAGTAGAATTTTATGAAGAAAATAAATATGTTTTGTGCTGGTCTTATTCAGTGATAAGTAGTCAGCATAAAAGTAATTAATTCAAGTAGCATACTTAAATCTGGAAAGACTGTAGTGGCATGTACAATCTGGTGAGGCTGGCATGTTTGTCTTTGATTTGATATATCCAAGTTACGGAATGATGGTCTGTGACCAATATAATTAAGTACCTTAATACCTTCACTATGCATTTAATGGCTAGATGTTCTTTTTTTCTCTAATCATATAATGTTCTACCTGAGGAAACAGTTTATGACTTATATAAAACTGGGTGTTTCTTTTGACATGTTCCTGACTCAGCAGGGCTCCAAGCCCAACTTTTAAAGCAGTGGTGCATACTATAAATTTCTTCCTAGACCAACAGTCTACACATTTCTCTGTGCAGGAAAGCTGAAAAATCTGGTTCTATAAAACACCCTGTCTCAAATCCATCTACGTTTAATTTTCCCCTTTTGTACTCTTACACTTGCACAACAAACCTGCAAAAATCCTTGCTTTCTTTCGCTACAACAAAAAGTTTCCTACCTAGTAACTTGAAAGGAAATCATAAAAGGAAAGGATTTTTATCTGTGTGCTAAGAGTTCTTTTGATTTACTTGATGTCCCTTTAAAGAATATGTTACTGAAATTAAAATATGTCAAAATCAAAAACTATAGGAGTCATATTTTATAGAAAGTATGACAGTTAAGGTATGTGTCTTCAGAGGTGGCCAAGAAAGCCAACAAAAGCATAGTTAATATTGCTAAAGAGGTAATCCTGTTTTGTAGCAGGAAAAGTCCTGAAAAACTGTCTTCTTTTAATGAGGAAAAAAAATTGCATGGGTAATTTTTTGTTGGTTTTTACATTAGGGCAGGGGAATTTGCTTTTCATAACGCTGTGAATGTATCCCTTGAATTAATTTGTTGAGAAAGATGTAAAAAAAAACCCCAGCCAAAACTGTTTGTGTATCAGTATGTAAAATTCACTATCACTTGAGGTCTGCACATTTTCAGATAAATAGAGCCATACCTATGTTCTTTCAGTAAGATTACAACCCCACAGCATGTTGCTAGTATCTACTAATTTTAATTTTTCTCCTGACTGAAGCAGTGTCTAGGCAGTCATGCTAAATAATTGCTGGGTAGTAGCCATATTTCTCCAGTTCACTTTCAAAGGGGAGAAAAATGGGACTTCACTTGAATGTAGAAATCCCACTACAATGTTGGTGACTGATCTTCTGCCACAGTTAGCTCTAAGGCTTAGCTTGTCTTTCCGATTCACACAGATGGAACAAGTTTTTACATGTACTCAATGAAAAATATACTACAGAAAAAAATACAATCAAAGTACCTAGTCATGAGAAATAAAGTAGTTCTTGACAGTAATTTTTCATTGTTAATCTGAAAAGTCTTTGTTACATAAAATGGCTCATTAACCAAAATTCAGTGGACTTCAGAGACTTCATGCACAGGCCACAGCCATGAGTTCTTCATACACAGTAAATGCTATTGATTTTGGTGGCTGCTATTTTTTTATATATATCATGTCTATTTTTCTGATGATTTATTTTCCACTTTTAAAATTGTGCAGAAAATGTCTCTTGGCCCTTTTCAGAAAGATCTAATGAGGCACTAATAGCATCTCAAATTGCAGAAACGAAATTTTTAAAGTTAGGAGAATGTCTTCTAAGCACATGCAGAGTGAGTTTGATCATACAAGCCATGTCATATTCTCTGAGGGTGCTACTTAACTCGTAGGACCTACATTGTAGGAGAAGGATGAGCCGTGTTAGGACTCACAGGTGCCTTTAGGGAGGCTGGCTGAAGCCAGCCCTGTCCCTGCCTGCCTACAGCCCTGAGCTGGAGGCTGTGTGGGAACAAGGCTCTTCTCCACTCCTCAGCTGTTCCAGTTTACAGCCCACCTTAACTGAAGTCAGAAACCATCATATGAAATACCAGCTCACAACCTGGAGCAGCTGGGGCACGTCCATGTGTCTTGCTTTTGCAGGGCATCAATTTGCAGTGAAGGAACTGAAAACGGTGTCAGTTTTGACCCCACCACCCGCCCCTGCTCCACAGAATTTGGAGTTTGGTGCCTGAGGGACAGGTTCTGCACCAGATTGCTTACAGAAACTCAGTGATAAGCACTGTGCTTGAAGTGCTTGAAGGCATATGCTTCTGTGGAGCTCCTGTCTGGGCCCAGGGTCTGTCTTTATCACATTCTCTTGTTTATATTGTACTTTTATTCAGAAGACTACTTAGACTGTTGCGGGAACAATGTCCAAACAGGCATTTGTGTTTGGATTAAGTGGTGAAGTGATTCGTTCAGAGATTAATTCATTCTGGTGGATAGTCAAGCTTACTTCCTGCCCTCAAAAGTGTTTCCAATTCAGAAATTATAAGATTTCAAGGAAATAGAATATATCTAGCCTTACTTTTTTTTATTTGTGTAGTTTAATATCATCAACTTTTTTGGACATTTCATAGAAAACTATAGCATTAGAAGGGTGTGGTTTCTTTCTCAACTAGTAGAATCATGTTACTTTTTCAGCAGCAAAAACAATGAACTTTACATAAATTTTAAAAATGTTTCTACTGAAAGTAGTATCTGGAGGGAATGACTTGAATTTGTCTTTCTGTTTCCTTAACGTTTATTCTTTTAGTTATGACATTTCAGAGAAATTGAGATTAGTTTTGACTGCATAATCAACTCTTATTATAGTAAAAAGATGGCAAAAATAGGGACTAATGTTAGTTTTTCTCTGCAGGAAAACTCTTGAAGATCGTTTAAAGCTTGAAGAAAAACTTGGCACACTCAATGTGTCTGATACCACAGTAGGCAGCAAACAGGCGACATTCAAATTGAAGAAGGTGAGATATATATATATATATATAACGTTTTTAAGATAATGTGCAAGTAACTTTAGTTTTTGCATGAAAGAACAGGAACTTAAAACCGTCAAGCAAATGTCCCTCTTCGTTTCTTTATAAGCTGCCAACCTTCAGGTTCTTGCCAAGAGAATGAAAGCCTCTGGTAGTACTCTGTGTTTATCCTGTATAACTCAGGCAACACTCATAAAGTCTTGTGTTCTGGTGGAAAACAATGGTTTGCATCTTTTAATAGTTATTTGCAGAGGTACCACCAGAAGCTTGTGGCCATGCCTGACTTCAGTGCCAACACTGATCAGATCTCAGTCCTCAGATCCAAATGCAATTCAGGGTGCTGCAATTTAGGTGTTCTCTTGGTTTAGTGTCCTGAGTGGTCTCAGCAAGATAGAAGCAGAACTCCAAACCACCTTTGTTATTGACCTTATGGAACACAGGTCACAGGAATGAGCTCTGCTCCTATACATATATATACTCCTATATATGGAGTGTGTAGTTGACTGCTGCCTATTTACCTTTCCCAAGGGTTTTGATTTTCCATTCTGAAGAATTTTGTAGATTGCATACAGGTGATTGCTTCGTAGTGTAGGGACAGTTAAATAAATGGCTATGTGCATCTGCTACTGCTGCAGTACACTTAGGGATTTTTTTACTAGAAAATTGCTATAGAACTGAAGAGAAGATTCAATTTAAAATTTGGAGACCCATATGAATTGATACTTGACCTGACAAAATTTATTTTGGTCAAAATTGGTGTTCCTCAGGTAAACATCTTTGCTATAACACATTTCTCCTTACCACTGGTCAAATACTGTTCTCACTGGTAAAACACTGTCACAAAAATGGCTAAGTAGTTATTTAATTGTCACATTGGATATGCCTGAAGAAAAAAAAAATTATTGACTGTTTCCACCTTACTTACTTATCTGATTATTATCTGCTTGCAGATGTCCTTTTTAATCTATTTTTGATTCTCATATTCCTGGAATTTAAAATGTGTTGACTGTGGAATAAGTTGCCAATTCCTCTGCAGTGCCATGTAGGGTAACCTTTCTGGTGATTTTGCTAACTCTGTAACTGATGGTATCTTGTAGCTTATTAAATGGGCTTTGCGGGGCTTCAAAGCACAGTCTTTTTTACAGTAGCTTTAACTTAAGAAGTGCAAAGCCACAAGGTTTATTGCAGTTGGTGGTGCACACTAAACTGTCACCTTTTACAGAAAAAGACTTGGGAACAAGACAGGCTTGGGAAGAAGACAGACAGTGTTTCGGAATGTCAATTTTACTTGATTCCATCAGATAAGATACAGCTTTGAGGGTTTTCTTTAATTATGATGCTTCTAACATTTATGGATTTTCTTTTCCTGACTATTTACTGATACTGCTTTATTGAAATATGTGCCTGAAATACGAACTGTAGTCATCTACATTGAAACGATTTTTAAAAATCTAATTTAAAGAAAAATAATGCATCTGCAGTGGAGGATATTTCTCCTATCAAGACAGCAACAACGTAAGACTTAAAAGTCTTCTTTCAAATAAACACAGACTCTGTGTATATCTTCTGAAGTCCCAAGAAATGAAGCAGGGAGACCTAGGAGGAAGTCACACTATGCAGTCTTCCCACTCCTTATCAGAGGATGAAGAGTGGAAGTTGACAAGCCAAAAGAGGGCTTTTAGGGTCCTTGAAATGTCACCTTCCATGATGCCCTTTCCTCAAAGGGCAGGTGTATTCAGAAGTCAGTGAAAGATTTAGTATGAGAAGGAATTGTCCCTTCCATAGGGTTGGTGTCCACTTCAACTCCTCAGTCAGTGGAACTGAGGCTGAACTTGGCTCCTGCAGGTATGGTATATTGGCAGCCTCCTGATGCCCAGCTACCACTGACAGGTCCCGTGATGACACTGTTTGTCATTGATATTTCACAGTTTAGTTTTCAGAGAATTTGAATATAATTTCTGCAGTGTGGCAGCTTATTTTTCAATTTCAATATGCTTTATCATAGCCAACAGATCTAACAAAATAGCAGGATTTCTAAAATACCAAAATACGTACACTACCAAGACAGCTTGGAAGACATTTGAAAGCCCCAAACCTTAAAATTTCTAATGCAGATCAAGGTCATTCAGATTCAGTACACTATGAGTAGCTGTCAATATGAACTTAAGTAAGATTCATCAAGACGCTTTCCGAAGAGGTCTGGAGACAGAGAGAAGCTAACTCTATTTTCAAATGTTCTACTTGCAATGAAAATGGGAATTCATAAATTTCATCGAAGTCTAAAGACCAGCAGCTTTTTCTGCCTTGATACCAGTTTGGGCTGATTGCTACATTTGGTTTGTATCTCACCTCAGCCAAAATGTTGTCCGTGCAAGCAAACATCTAGCTCAGCTTAAATGGTGTGTGAATGGGAGACAGGGGGAGGCGAGCTGACGTGAATGCTGATGGTTACAGAATGAGATGCAGTGGGATGCAGCAGTATCCACAGTGCTAATTCTGTCACACTCTTGCTGCAGTTATCCTGGGCTGCTTGAAATTGCTCAAAATTGCTGGAGTACTTTTTGACATGGACAGTTGCCTGAGCTTGGCTAATTAAAGTGTGCTAGTTACAGTTTATGCTTAGTTAAAAGACAAGCTTTAGTCTTACAAAGAAAATAGTAGTTTGTGGCTGTAAGAGCCATTTCATCTACACGGTATATCAAAACATCTTCCAGAATGTTTTTGATTGAGAGAAGAAGCATAAATAGAGCATATGCCATAGGAGCAGAGATTTAGAATTACTTTCACGTAGAAAGTCCTTCTAGAATTACATACAGTATATCAAACACTTTCAAGAACTCCTAAGAACACATTTTAAGAAACATTTATGCTTCAGCAAATTTAACTAATTGTCCTCTCTTTTTAAAACTAAATTGTGCAATATTAAGACTGACAGATTTCAAGAAGCATTTGGACAATACTTGGGCACATAGTGTGATTCTAGCCAGGGAAACTCCTGTAGGGCCAGGGGTTGGATTCAGTGATACCTGTGGGTTTCTTCCAACTCAGTTTATTCTATTCTGTGATTAAACTTGAAAACGCTAGTTAATGAAAGCAGATACTAAATAGCCACAAATTTGGATCGATGTTCTTAAGGGTATTTACACATAAATTCTGGAGTGTATTCTTAAGCATTGTTTTTTATCCGAAATACATTATTCACTGGTTTTTGATATCTTAATGTTAAACATTTGCTCTGAAAAACTTGGAATGATAATGCCTAAGGATATCTAGAATTAACAGTTAGAGTGACACAAGATAGCATGGGGCAACTAATGGTAACATTTTCAGATTTGCTTAATAGAATTCTGACTTGATATACTGATACTGGGACAATGAGGTGATGAGTAAATTTACAGGAACCTGAGTCTATTTTTGTTTTAATATTCCAGTCAGAGCAGCAAAGGAAACAGCAGGAAGCTGAGAAACGACATCGTCAAGAGAGGAAAACTCTTCGGCGCTCTGCCAGTCATCTCAAGAGCAGACGTGGAAGAGGACAACTATTTCATTGATTTATGTTATTTTTTTAAGAAACTTTTAACCTCATTTTTCATTTGAAAAGGGACTTTTTCAAATTGGGACAAAGTACCAATGGATTTGTATTTTGATTCATTGGTGAACACAAGACCAGAACTTCCTAAACCTTGTGTTAAATAATGAAAATTTTGTGAAAGTTGAAGTACTGACCAAAGGACACTATGAATATGGTCCATTGTGAACTCTGTTTGTTCAGAAATCACCAGCAACTGGTTATTGTGTAACCCTGGATATTTTCTGTATAAGAATTTATGTATACAACGAGGCTGCCTGTCTTTTATTTAAGAGCGGTGAGTTTCAGTTTCTGAAATCTTTGTGACTGCTTAGATAAAAGATCAAGGGTAAGTTATTTTACCTAAAAGCTTATCTTTACAAGGGCGCAACAAATTTTTCTGGTTCTTGAAGGATGACAGACAATTGTGTTTTTCAAAAACTGATTTTGGCTTTATATTCTTGGGTTGCCTTTAGTAGCAAATGGTAGAAATGGTTGTCAGGAGGACAATTGAGAATGCCTGATTTGAGTTCCTCTGAGTCATTCTGTAAGGAAACCTCTCTTGGCACACCAGTGTACAAAGGGGAAGCTCAGAAGAGCAGTCCTATTAACTTAGATTTTGTAAATACAAAACATGACCCTAATGTTTCTGTTTTGGAAAGCCAGCCATGGTTCAACAATGTTCATGTAATAAGCACTTCGGGGCCATGTCAGCAGTCTCCTATGCATCAAAAAAAGTTTAGTTAAATAAGTTAAAAAAACCCTTGAACTTAAGTAGGTCACTATTTAGCAAATAAATTAATTTTTACCTTTGATCCTAAAGGGACCTTTTTATTGCTTTTTAAAAGCCTTTATAAATTGCCTTTTTCCTAGATAAAACCTGAACTTTGGATCCAACAAGAATCAGTGAATCTCTCTGTCACTGTTAATCTTTTTAAGAGACTCATAGGTTCTTAGGTGTTTTGCTTTATAAACTGGAGAGGTATTAACCTGGTCAGGTCTCTTGGACAGTATTTATAGAATCTTGCAATTACTTCAGTAAAAGCCTTGGTTTCTCATAGCCTGATATTTTTTTGGTTTTGTTGTTAGATAATAGAAAAATTAGCCACAAGGGTAATTTTTTTCCCTCCCTAACTTAATTTTACCTGCTTTAATTCCTTCTGGTTTTAATTATATTGCTGCCTTTAGTTTAAAAAGGCCATTTCACCTGATATTTTTAATCTTTAGAAAACTTTACATTGTAGTCATCACCTCTGCCCTTGCATTCAACTAAAGGATGAGTCTCTCAAGACCTAGTTTTTTACCTCTAGCTGTCAAATTTCTGCATTGTCCATAAGCTTCTCATGCTTTTTATTTAGCACAGAACTATTCAGTTTTCCAATGTAAGTCTCACCCATGTTCTAAGTACCATTATTACTTCTCCTTATGCACTGAGATAATGTGAGTGCAGTTGCGGTTGCTTTGGAGTATGTCCCACTTTTTGAAGTGTTGTCCTTTGACATTCAAGACTTTGAAATCCAAATGCAAGTTAAAATTTGTACTAGTTCAACATCTTCCCCCTGGAGCATTATGTTATCTTTTAGAAACTGCATGTGATTCTGGTGTGCTCACATCGTACGTGGGGCTGTAGGAATGTGGAAAGGTTAACAGTGGGAACTGGCCCCCATTGTTGTTGATACAGGGAGAGTTGAGGACTGAGTGGACAGAGATGTAAGAGGCATTGGCACTTCAAAACACCTCCTTCGACCTGCTGGCATTGCTCATCCTAATGCACCCCAGGACACCACTGGCCTTTTTGGCCACAAGGGCACTGCCAGCTCCCGGACAGCTTGTTGTCCACCAGCACCCCCAGGTCCTTCTCTGCAGAGCTGCATCCCAGCAGAGCAGCCCTAGCCTGTGCTGATTATTCCTTCCAAGGGACAAGACCCTGCATTTGCCTTTGTTAATTTTGAAACTGTTCCTCTCTGCCAATCTCTCCAACCTGTTGGGATCCTTCTGAAGGGCTGCACGGCCCTCTGTGGTATTGGCCATTCCTTACAGCTTTGTGTCATCAGGGAACTTGCTGAGGAGGCTTCTCCCCTTTCATCCAGCTCATTGATGAATAAGTCAAACAATATTGAATCTTGGGGAACACTGTGGTGATAGCCCCCAACTGGGCCCTGTGCCACTGATTATAACCCTCTGGGATCTGCCATTCGGCCAGTTCTCAATCCACCTCACTGTCCACATAGGGACCTGGCATGAAGCACATTGAGATTGTTGAGATTGATTAAGCAGATTAACAGCAGGTTAAAACTGTTCTTGAACAGCTGTCTGGGGAAGATTGGAAGTTTCAGTAGAAGCTGGCATATTAATGCAACATCATTGCAAATGAATTAACCTCATCATCCAACCAAAGCAGGCATTTTTTAATTGTCAGCCTGGGTTTCATTAATGTTTTTCAGTCAACAGTCACTTCATTTTCCATACAGCAGGAATCAGTATTTATCCTGAATTACAATTCCTAGAAACTGCTGGGATGCTTTGTGACATTTAAGACTCGTACTCTTAAGGTAAGTGTGATCAGATGCTGTAGCGTCATGGAAACCCTGATTGTTTCATACGTGTGAGATCTTAGTGGTGAGAATCAGTATAAAAAACTCACTATAAATAAATGTACAGATAGTGGTTAAATGTGAGTGAAACGCTGGTGAGAATGACCTAGGTCTGATGTGTCAGCTGTACTTCAGTACTTCTTTACTCCACAGGTAATATGATTTATATCAGTTAGGCTATTAGTCATTCAACAAACATTGAACCAAAACTAATTATCTAATGTTCTTTCCAAAAATTCTATTACCAAGCCAAGAATCGTTCCATGTTCCTGTGGCTGGTATAATTGTTTGAAATTAAGAGCGTCTACCAATTTAAACAAAACAGTGGAAAAAAAAAATACTGTGCCCCACACTGCTAGTTTTTAATATCTGAACAAAAGAAACATGATTTTAAAATATTACCCTACATACATAGCAAGTGTGTGTAAAATGTATATACACATTTTTATACTCATGGGGTTTATGTATGGAGCTTAAAGCAGGTTTGAGATGTCAAGCTTCAAGGAGGAGTTGTGAGAGAGGATGGAACAGTTTTCAGATTACTCCATCTTGTTTTTCAGCAGCCTTTTATATTTGTACTCTTCATGTTTCCAGGTTTGAAAATGGGGAATATAATTTAATTCCAGGAAGAAAGAACTGTATTTCAGATGCAGGAATACAGTGAAGCAAGTACAGCTTCTTGCCTGGGTTGTGCAATGTCCACGAAAAGACTTGTGATGTTGGATTAACATCTGCAGGTATAGATGTCTGTGTACCATCAAGAGTAGTGGAGCCTTCCCTGAGGAAGAGGAATGGTTTAATGAACTTTAGAGGATTTCTCCAGCCTGATTACTCTATGACTGTTGTAGGGCATAAGGAGGAAACGTCTGTCATTAATTGACTGGAGTAATTTTCCCCCTTTGTCTCATTCTTCCACTGAATCACTCACTCGTTTTATCTTTTTATCTCTTTCTTAAAGATTAAGTACTTCTTTTGGCATATGTCCATAGCTAATATATTTTGTCTGATCTTGAGAAGTATGGGGATTTAAAACTGAATGAAAACACATAAATCTATTAATAAATTTTACCTCTTGATCATTATCTCTGTATTTCAAAGCCCATTTTACTCAACAACTGACTCTTTGTGTTGAATATGAAATAGTCCTGTCACCAAAACGAACAGTTTATAGTAAAATCTGCAGAAAATAATCAGATTTAGCACCACTTAGTTTCCTATACTGGAAGAAGAGGAATTCCTGAATTTTAAAGAATCTCTAGGTCATAGAATTCATTTGGGGTGGAAGGGACCTTAAAGATGATCTACTTTCAAGCCCCCCGCCATGGGCAGAGAACCTTCCATTAGACAATGTTGCTCAGAACCCCATCCAGCCTGGCTCTGAGCACTGTCAGGGATGAAGAGTCCACATATGCTCTGGGCAGCCTGTGCCAGTGCCTCACCACCCTCACAGTAAAGAATTTCTTCCTGATATTTAACCTAAACCCACCCCTTCAATTTAAGGCCATTCTCCCTTGTCATGCCTCTACACTCACTACATGCCCATGTGCAAAGTCCCTCTGCAGCTCTCTTGAAGGCCCCCTTTAGCTTATTGGAAGGTGCTCTAAAGTCACCTCAACCCTTCTCTCTCTGGGCTGGACAACCCCAATTCTCAGCCTGTCTTCATAAGAGATGTTCCAGCCCTGTGATCAAATTAGTGGCTCTCCTTTGTTTTGTAATTTGACCTGGATCCTTAATTCACATGGACCCTAGTTGCAAATTTCTGTTGACAAGTGACACCTTTCTTTGTGTTTGTCCTGTAAGTAACATTTCCATACAAAATACCTGTGAGTATCGCCTGGTACAGACTGGTTTGCACTCATGTATCAGCAGAGCTAAAATAGGTTGGTTTTTATACAAATGAATGAAAATCACGACGACCAAACCATCCACATTAGTGTAAATTCAGAAATGTGTCTTCCTGTTGCTCACTGTTTTTCAGGATCTCCATCTTCTGTTCTTTGCTTAGTGTTTTAGACTGTGGAGCATAACAAAGAAGAGAAGGTTCACCCTGAGCATGTTCAGAAAGGAATAATTTTTATCTTACGCATTAAAAAGAATTGGGTGCTGCACTTCCTTTGACAACCATATTTAATTAGACTTGAAGGACAATATTTTTGCAGTAAGATCAGCTATAAATTGAAATACTCACATTCAGTGGGGTTATGTTGAGATTGGGGTCAGCTTACCTATGCAGGCAAGGCCTTGTTCCCAGTTAATTCTTCATTGAGTGGGGGAAAAAGCAAAAATTCCATTTCCTCATTAAAGAGAAAACTAGGCAGTTAAAGTGGGAAATACCAGCCCAGCCCTAATCAGAATTTATACTCCCAATTCCTGGAACCACCCTTCCCTTCCCTACAGCAGTTTCTGACAAAGCTGCTCTCTCTTGCTTATTATCTCGTTTGAACATCTGGCTCTTACTTCTGGAGTGCCTCTTTCTACACTCCACTTTTCTCTGTTAATACCAGGATCCCTGGTACAAATTTATACAGATAGAGCACAGATTTGAGAATGAGCACTAAAATGGTAATAGTAGACTGGCTGTGAATGGGCACACCTAGAGCAGAAAGGATTTGTGTGAGCCTGGAGATCCAGAGAGCCGTGGCATCAGAGGGGATTCGGAGAGCTGGTGCACACTCCTGTACATGTTATTGGCAGAAGGCAGTGCAGTGTTGTTTCTGCCCCAAAATCCACTCCTGCTCTGTGTGTATCTGTACCGCTAGCTCCACTTCACTAAGGTCTAGGTGTTTTGACTGGGATTGGTGTGTTTTATCTTTTTTTAAAGAATTTTACCAACAGCATTAGTATAATTGCAATGTAGAGTTATATACATTTAGTTACAATATGTACAATTGCACAAAACATTTAGCATTCAAAAGAATCCAAATGATATATTTTTTTTTATTTCAATCATGAATATCATGTCCTTTTCATTTACCAGCATTTCCTCTGTAAATACGTTTTCTTCTGTTTTTTAATCTTTATAATATTGCCATAATATGGCGTGCATACAGCATGGGTCATGAAAGACCACATGCCTACCTGTGAGGATTTAATCATCTTAAGCAAGTGACAGTGTTGAGAAAAGTAATTATCTTGTCTATTGGAGTTCTGCTGATATTCTTGTAAACTGAATCAAAAGGGAAGTTTCATCATAGGTACTTTGTTTTTTTCTCCTTTCCCAGATGTAAACTGTAGATTGCCCAATGGGACTATGACACTGTTGCACTGAAAATGAAGCAATATTTTAAACAGATCTCCACAGCAAATAAGTATCCTCTATCAGAGATGTTTTAGACAGGTTTCAACAAATCACTTTTGCACAATGTCATGGTAACTGCATTGCTGCAATTTAAGTATCACTAGAAGAAGAGTATAGATGATCGTTCTCCAGTTCTTAGGACAGGGCCTGACACTGTTCAGTGTACAAGTACAGACACAACCAAGAGTATTGTGTAACATTTCACATGTAGTTGGGGACTGGTGTCACTCATCTGGAACTTAGCCAGTGAGGGAAAGATATTAGAATGATTGGAAACTTCAGAGGCAGTTATTCCAGGAGAATTCAAAGGTGACTATCCTTGATTCCTGTAATCTGTCTCCCAGACCATGAAAAGTTCCAGTTAAAAACTGGAAGAAGATGGAAATTTCTCCAGAGCAGAGGTGAGGCACAAGGATATGTCAGGTATTCAAGAAATGCTTGCCCCCTGGAGTGGTGGGGAGGAAAGCTGCTTCAGTGATGGTATTTGGGATAGATGTGAGGGCAGGGCTGCCAGGATATGCTGGATATGTAATGTGACCAAATCAAGGAGGATTGTAGAGAGAACACTGCACCTCAGGGTGCTACAGGATGAAATGACTGAACAGTCAAGGCAGGTGGCTCCTTCCCTCCAGAGGATCTCTCTTTCCCTTCTTAAATGATGTGTACATGATGTCTACTGAAATGATTTCTAGAAGTAATGCTCAAAAGTGGATGTCTGCTTTGGCCTCTAGTGATGGTAATGTACTTCATCTTAATCACAGAAAAGTAATTGATCTCTAGTGTCAGTTACGACACTGTTTTCCCTTACCTCTGAAGATCTGGGGAATCAGAGCTCTTTCCTTCAGAGAGGCAACCTCCCATGACACTGAAGGAATTTCTTATAGAAAGAAATAACTTAGGAAAAGTCAGTCTTTGGTAAGACAGTCAGTAAAGCAGCTGGAAAGAAAGGGAGAGAGGAGGTGTGGAAAATAATTTGAAATTTGGCCAAATGTTTATCTTCAAACACTTTACAATTAAAAAAAATCAATGCAAATGTCAGATTTTCAAGAGCTGAAACTAATCTGTTCTGATTTGGGGTTTTCAGTGAAAACTTTGTTTTATTTTATTGCCATTTTCCCCTAGAAGGTTATTGTCCTGAGCTGGTGTATTTTCTTGCACTTCAGGGTCTTTTAAAAACTGGATTCCTCCAGCCAGCATGGCAAGGCTGGTACAACTGGTCAGATAGAAATAGTAATGTAAACTCTTTCAGACATTTTTTCTGATTCTGCTGCCCCCCATTCTCTGCAACATCTGGAATTATTGGCGGTTAGATATTTGGGCACTATCTAATCATAAGGGCTAAAGTGCTGGGCTATATGAACCCTTTTAATCTTCCCTTCCTCCTATGTAGGCATGTTTTTGACACCTCTTGTTATATTTTCTCTTCCCCGTCCAGCTGAGGAGGGCTGTGATAGAGGAGCCTTGGGGCACCTCGTGTCCAGCCAGAGTCAACCTGCCACTGATAGACAACCTCTTCATTTTTTCAGTCTGTCTTTAGCTGGTAAGTTTTAACAGCAAAACAATTTCTGCACTAAGTAGGAATAGTAAGAATGAAAATTTTTATCAATGCTGTTTTTCCCTAGTGTAGTTGGAATTTGGTGACAACTAACAGATAGGAGCTAAGTGGAAATGATTTCTTAATCACAGGAAGCCTTGGAGCTTCTGAATTTGGGACTCCCCTATTTCTGGCTTACTTCATGTATCACTTCATCTAGCTCACCGTACTGTGTAATGCATTTTAGGGCATCTGTACAACTAACTTCAAGATACAAAACAGGCAGAAGAACTAGATGGGCTTAAGGAGCTGTTACTGTGTAAGGTGCTTGTACAGCCAACCAACTTCTCTTTATGAGCTTGTGTTACTCCCACGGGTCAAATTTTCTGCTTCTTGGCTAGGACAAGAATTGGGACTGGCCTGCAGGTTTCCTCAGAGTTCAGGAAATCCCCAGTACAGCTCAGAAATCCTCCGGACAAGACTGTCCTAAGCTTTTGGCAGCATCCATGCCTTCAGCCTTCCCTCTACTAAGCATTCTCTGAGCGATCTTCCTGCTCTTTCTTGAAAGCCTTTTGTATGTCAGTGCATTTTAAAGCTGGTGTATGTAGGAATATCTTCAGTATTTCAGCAAGGTACCGCAGGCTCCCAGTGGATCCTAGGCAGTGTTCCTCACCACCAAGCTGAAAAGCGATAGAATCAAAACTTTCCGTAGGACATTTAACTTTCTTCCATAATTATTAAGGGTCTGTAAAAGTAAAGTTGGTCACTAGGTTCAGAGAAAAGAAGTATTAAGCCCTAAGACAGAAGGACATAAATGCACAAATGACAGTAACTATTTCTGGGACGTGTCAGTCAGTTTCTAAATCAAATCATGTGAATGCCTCAAAGCAAGAAATTTGAAAGCTATTCAGTTTTCTTTGAACCCTGTTTTGCATGTGGATTTCAAGCATTGAAAGAAGGAAATTCTGTTCTGTCAATGGGATCTCATGGGTTTTAACTGGAGAAGCAGTGCTAACATGTGAGTGAGCTGTGGTGCCATTCTTCAAATCCCTCAACAACAGACCTGTATCTTAAATGAACTAAACTAGCATGTGATCATTAAGAAAGACTTTTCTCTCAATTGAAGGTTCTTACTTGCGTGCATAACTACCCAGAGGCAGAGAGTGCTAATCTGAATGACTGGTATGTGATTTTTATTGGCTTTCATGGATGCTGTTTGCATTCATTACAGAGAACCTATTGCACAGGATAACTATTACTGAATCATTTCTTAGAATTATCAAGCATAAGCCAGCTTTCATCCCACATGCAGGCTTTGAACTGTTACTGAATAAGTTTTTCAATTCATTTTCTTTGGGCTTTTGTTCCACCTGCAGATCTTGTCTTCCATCTACACAGATTCCAAAACAATGGGGTTGACCCTGCTGCTTTGGTACAAGACACACTTGTTGCTGGCATTGGAGGAGCTTTACCTGTGTTGAGATGATGTTGCCTGTATATTTATTGTGACAATGACAAGGTACTGCCTGACTTACTGGTTGCCTGTTGGTTTGGGTGCTGTTGAGGGGAAGGAGTCATGCTGGGGTAAGGAGAAGCGGCTGTGTAGGTGTTAGAACTTCCTGGCTCAGAGCTGCTGCCCTAGCCCTTAATGGTGGCTGGGCAGAGTAAACCATGGTTTCTGCTCTGCCTCAGAGGCCAAAGTCTAGCAGGGTGCTCTGCTTGGGAAATCAGATCTGCTGTATGCTTTTCACAAACCCACTTCCTGGTTGCCAAATAATTTCCCAAAGTGGAATGAGGATGCAGGGAAACACTGAAACCTGTGTAAGATTTCTGCTGTACCATCACTTCACACATATTCCCAATGTATGTGCTGTGGTGGGTCCCAAAATCAGAAGAGATGAGATGAAGACAGTGTCTCAGAACTAGAATTTGCAAATCACATAATGCAAAGAAAGATATAAGCAAACAGTGGATTACTGCATATTCCCTTATGTCCTCTTTAAAAATATTTGAAAATTTATGTGAAATGTAAGTTTGGTTTTTTTTCTCCCAGGGTCTTACTCGGAGGTTTTCTGTTATTAACAGACAAGTGCTATTGCCAGGAAAGTTGCTGAACCCCTAACTTTCAATAGTGGTCATTGGCCTTAAGTCTGGAAAACTGGAGCTGCATCTAACTACAAATACCCAAGCCTGGAAATCCCTTCTCAGAGGCAAAACAGCTTCCAGGCTTTGACTAGGTACTGTGAAAAAACCTGAAGATGCTTCCCATGGCTATATCATGTGTGTTATGAGGCTGAGCAGTCTGAAGTATTTGATGGCTCCTGCTCAAGTCATAGTGTCTACCACATATGAGTAACATCCAGTCTGTGAACCACAAGTAAAACCACTTCAGTGTAGTTCCATTAAGGTATGTTCTACAAATAAAAATTGAGAACAGGTCCTTGGAGTCCACAAATGCCTTCTGCTCCTGCAAGTCCTCTCCTTTTCCTATGCAAGATCTTCCCCTAACGTTTTTGAAATCAGAGCAACAAATGAAAATATTTCCAGCTTGTTTTAAACTGTTTCTGATAACATCTGAAGTGATTAGAGAGGAGGTTTCTTTCATTTATTTTTCATTCATTAAATGGATAGGGCTTTAAGCAACCTGGTCTGATGGAAGGTGTCTCTTGGAACTAGATGATCCAGTTCCAACCCAAACTATTCTAAAATTCTGTGAAATGCAGGTATAGCGCAAAAAATTAGAGCATAAAGGATGTGTTTGTGGAATAAAATCTTGTTGGAAGAATACCAATCTTACTGCTAGTAGTCTTGAAGGTGGTATTTCAGTCATCCTGCTGGAAAACAGAGCCTGACAGGACACAATCTCTGCTGTTCCAAAAGTACTTCCGATTTTTTTCTGTTTAAAAGTGTTGTTTTGACCTGTTTAAACTCTGACCTGAATTCCCTAGATTTTTTAGGCAGGACTCTTGAAGGATTCAGGCACCACTCACAACAGGCCAGGAAACTTGTCTCTTGCACAAACTGATTAGAGAAGTGTTCATGTCTTCAACCCTGAGCAAGAAGATATTTTGGGGATAGGGATTGCCTTGCTCAGCAAGCAGGACAGGTGTCCTTTACACAAAATTTCAGCTTGGATTGCAGAAGGAAACAAGGATTCTTCAGCCTATGGTTCAGACATCCCATTGTGAAGCATTACTCATTTGCACCCATACATACAGCAGAGGAGACTTCCAGAACTAATTCTTTGTCATGTCTCTTCTTTCTCTCTGCCCTAGCTATGACAAAACTTTTGGATAGGTTTGTCAACTGCACCTGTGAACCAGCCTTTGGCTTTCACTGCAGACATAACGAGGAAAAACTGAATTTTCCATTTTCCTGAAATCAATTCAAATAAAGCATTTTCAATTCCTAGCCCACCTACAATAATTTTTGTTCATTTTTCTGTTCAGCACTGCAAGTCCCTTCTCTCTTCCCTCCCCCAGTAAAATTTACATGTTCTAATCCTAGCATTTACTTAAGCAACTGCAGAGGATCCTGAAATGGCTTCTCCTCCAACTGCTTTGTCTCCAGCTGGAGACAATTACCAATTTGTCCAATTCTCACCACATATATTATTAAGATCAAAGGCAGACCTCAAAACATTAGTAACTAATTTCAGTGTTATAGTTCTAATAAAATAAAAGCGCGCCACTATTAGGCAACATCTCTTTTGTATGTGGTAACTTCGTCATTGAATTCTGAGGTTTTCTTCCTTCTCAGATAGAATTAATCATAGTTGCAAGTATCTATGGATTACTGCTGCTTTTAAATTTGAAGCAGGGTGGCAGATGGGAGTAATTTGGGTATGTTCCCAGTCTCTTCTTCTGGAGAGAAGCAGAAGTGTCAATAAATTGTTTTTTCTCATTCTAATAAAATTCTGCGTCCCGTGATAGAAACTCTTATTGCAAGGGTCTCCTTTTATCACAAAGCTTGCTAGCAGATGTTGACCTATTCTTTAACAGTGCAAGCAGGAGGAAAAGAAAATGCCGCAGTTTAGTCTTCCGGAGAATAGATTTGGGCAAGCATGGAAGGAGGTAGAAGCTGAATTTAGTGTGATGCTCTGCCATGGGGACCCAGAAGTCCAATGTAGGAGCTGTTGAAAGGGTCTGGAGAGAGAAAGGTGAGCACTGATTCCCTCTGTGGTGCAGGTCATCTAAGCCTGAGGCTTGCCACCAGTTAGCACAAGCAGACAGGAAAATCGATGATGATGAGAGGATTATGTCTGAAACCACCTTACCTGACTTGTGTCCCAGTGCTGAGATCATGGCTGGAGTAGCACCGCTCTTGCCAGCGAGATTCACAGCCTAAGAGGAGCTTGTCCCTGGGGCAGTTGGATAGGGCTACCCAGGAAAGAGAGAGGTTAAAGATACACAGGCATAGGAGCAAGATACAGAAACTGTGAGAACCTTACATCTATCTTTCCGTCTCTCCTGAGGTGTGAGCTGGAATGCTGCACTGAAGATGATCACTGACATTTCCTCTGGCTGCTTCTCTTTCATAATGAATGTGGCTGCTGCTCTTTGGGCTGTCAATGACCTCTGTTGTGGGTAACCTTTCCCTGGTGTGACCCTCCAGAAGCTGGGGGCACTGTGAGCACCATGTTGCTGCACCTCCATCAGCAAGCAGTATGCACTGCAGCTCTTGGCTTGGCCAGGGTGATTTTTGTCACTGAATCATTTTGCAGCACCATTCTCCCCATTGTCATGCCCCCAAGGCTGTCAGGCAATGGATGAGGTGACATGGTGGCAGAGTGTGTGGGTGCCTTTAGCCGGTCTCAGTGCCTGTGTGTGACAGTAAAATCCCCTGTGCATAGGCTGGGTCACTGGGGTGCTCTTGTGAGCCCCTTCTGTCTGGATGTGCTGCAAGATAAAGGGGATGTCTTAAACCACTGTGGTAAAATTCGTTAGTGCGGTTCTGCCAGAGCCTGGAGTTAAAAGAGACCTTTTCTATGTAGCAATGCCAGAAAAGATGATCACAAACAACTGGCTGTCACGGGTCTGCTCTGAAGTCCCAGTTTTTGCAACACCCCAATTTAAGCAGTTCCATGCCCCAGCAGCTCCAAGAGTACCACTCAACTGGGAAAGCGTCCTGCTCACAGGGAGAGCTTTCCTGGAGGAACTTACGTTGTGGAGCTGCAGCTGCTCCATCAGGGCAGCATGGAACAAGGCAGCCACTGCCAGAATCTCTGCCCTGGCTGCCTGCATCCTCATCCCTTGGGGTGGGCCCTTCTGCCCCTTCAGGGTCACCCATGGAGCAAATTGTTCTCTTGAGATTTTTACTTGGATATGAGTTTGACATCACCTCGGTTTGACCTTTAATCTCCAAACAATTTTTATTTCTTTTTAAGCTTAGATAATACATGGACTAGTAATTCTGAAAAAAGATGTGGGTCTGGATTTTCCCCCTTTTTCACATATGCAGCATTATAGATTGGCTATGATCTACCACAGCCATGTTGTGTGCATGGTATCTTTCATCATTATAGCCCCAGAGGGTTTTTCAAAGCCTAATCTGAAAGCTGATTTATGGCAGCCCACCGTGACCCACATGAGCCATTAGCTCACTTCTGACTCTGCTAGGTTTCCTGACTTTCGGCTTGGTGTCTTTCAGAAGCAGAAGGGAAAGATGGGATTTCTGCTGAATATATAGGCCGGCTCTTTAGCCAGTCACTGGAATATTGCCAGTTCTTGCTGGATGGAGATTGGGCACTGGCTTTGTCAGATGAAATGTTGCCCAGACAAGATTTGGTGGCATCTGGCTAGATATTCTTTGCTTCCTAAGAGATTTTCTATTACTTATCCCAAATACTTTGCTTGTGGATCTGACTCTATAGCTTTTCCTCTAGCTGCTTGCAATGAAGCATTTATGTACACACAATCACAGCAGATAAATCTCTTAGAAAGAGATAATCATAATCTCTTTAATCAGCACATTGTAGTAATCCCTTGTAAACAGACTGGCTTCAGTAAACCTTTTACTAGGTCAGTGTCCTCACTGATCTTTTCCCTCTTCAGTTTTGTTCTGTGTCAGCCATGTAGCAGAAGGTGTTTCGGAGACATCAGGAAATTAAATGATTGTGTGTACAACCAGGAGCTGATAGTATGCTGGTAATATGATGATAATATTTCATGTATATGCTATTTGGTGATAAGGAATCTTAAGAACAGCAATCAAAGACATGTAGGAAGAATGCAAACACACACTCACTGTTGTTTAATACATGGCGAATTCCAGTGGCTCTTGTCTTAGGGCATTCCGTGCTCAGCCAGCATTTACAACATGCTTTTTTTTGTTTCTCATTCACATTTGGTGCTGCTGACACTGCAGAAGTTGCAGTTGTGTTTCTACTCACACACAATGCTCATGTTACTGTAAATGTACCTGTGGGAATGAGTTATTGAAAGAGCAGGGAAGGTGAATTACACACCTGCCTCCAGCAAACTCTTCTCTGAGTTTATTCAGTTGCTGTAGAATCAGTAAAAACATTTCTAAAGGAAAAGTGATTCATCCAAAGAGCTTGACATCCAAAGAGGTCAGTTCTCCAAAAAATGGAGGGGAGTGTCTCAACAGTGCTGCCTGCCTGCAGCCCCTGCTCTGGCCCTCCTCACCATGCTGGTGTTAACACTTTTGCGTGCATTTTTTAAAGGAGAGGGTTTCTAAGTACATGCTAGGGCTTTAGCATGCTGACTACTGCATTGGAGGGACTCCAGGTAAAGCGAGGAGAGCAAGCAGTGTTTGGGAAATTGGTGGGGCTCTTCTAAATTGTCAGATTATATTCTCATTTCAGTCAAGGGCCACAAACCCCAAGTTTGCGGCTTCCTGGAGAAACCAAGGCAGTTTGATGGGAAAGAAGAGTGCCTCAGGCATCCCAAGATTCGCCTTAGAATAGAGGACAGTGTTAAGCCTATTAATGTCTGTGTTCTTTCCCAATTTATAGGTCAGCTTTAGCAGGCCTGCATGCACTTGAAAAATGAGTGACAAGCTGCGTCCAGTCCCGTGGGTCTTACTCATGGGACTAGTCCTTACTCATCGTATCGGCCCCCGCAAGGCCGATGACAGTGATCCTATGATTGAGCCTTTTGGCAGAAAGGCCTCTTCATTCCAATGGGGATCTGTTTGTTTTGCATGCTGTAAAATTGCAGACACCAGTGGAAGACAGCAGAAATTTTACCTGTGCGAACTCAAATGTGCAAAAAGTCACAAGCCCATCAGGGACAGCCCTGGAGGCCAGGGCAGTCCTGGCACCCCAGCGAAGGTCTGCAAAAAGATGCTCTGAATGTGCATCCAGGCACACAATTTTTTAGTGGTTTTGCTTCTCAAGCTGTAATCTCCAAAGCATTCATTCTCCTAGGGCTATGGCAGCAGATACATGAAGTTCATGTATTTTTAGTTGCTGTAGGATGTATGTCATTTAAGTCAATTGAGGAAGGTGAGAATGGAGGTAGAGGGTGCCCATTCACATGATGTGTTGCAAAGGACATTCCTCTGAGTCCCTGTTTTACCCTGCACAGGCAAAAATGTTGCCACACTTAACTACAGAGCATCTGGGATCCAGGAATGGGAGTAAGCCTCAATGCGGGCAGCTGAAGACTGTAAACTCTGCATTGGACTGGCTCCAGGTGCAGAGATCTACAACCCTGCTGATCACAAACATCCTGAGCATCCATTCCAATATGGCATCTCATCAGCAGTGTCCTTGGCTGTGGATGCTGATGCTAGTTGTGTTTTCACTGCAGAGATGGATGC